ACTACATATATCTTGTTTCTCAACACTCAATAGGAGTATGATCCGCCCATTTATGATCAAGCCCATTAAAATAGGATGCTAAGTAAAAACACTATTTCAGCAAGTGTAAATACTATGTATAGTATTAACAACCATAAAACCTTATTTCAATTAGTATTGTGCATTATCTGTAGCCATATTTTTCATTGATTAGGCAAAAGTTTTGAATTATCATTGTGGATGGGATATTGTTGTGATGGCCAGTCATAGACATAGTCGTGGCAGAAGTTTTGTGAGGTTTGGGACTTCTGGTCTGGGAGAAGAGTTCATTGGGGCTAATGATGGCCAATCAAATTCCCCAACAGGCAAAGCAGTTCTTGACGTCTTTTCCTTGTTAGACGTAAGTTGTTTATAATTTTTTTGTGGGGAGTTCTTTTTTCGGAAACAATGTAAATGAGTTTCATAATTTGTCGATGCAGTCAAACATAGTGTATATCATCTCAAATCCAGCGCCGATGGACAATTCCCATTTTAGTTTGACTGAATTTTAGGCTAAATAAGGAAAATTAATCATCTGCAAAGTTTGGTTGTGAATTAATGTAAATGTAAAATTCCACTGTAATCATAGAAACTTTGACAGTGTAACTCAGGCTTATCAATCTCATTAGATTGGCAAGTAAAAAGTATGTTTAAGGTTCCTTATTCTAGAATTCATTTGTCTTTTATAGAGAGCAAAGAGGCAGACAGCAAAAGGGCTGCTGTAGGCAAAGATGAACCTCCATTACCATCCATACCACCCCCTGCTACATCTACTCCCTGCAATGTTAGCCCTAATCCTTCTGCCACTTTTACTCCTCATGTCACTTCTTTATCTTTGGTCACCTCTCAACCTTCCTCCGGATCTTCTCCCATCACCTCTCAACATTCCTTTTTTTGGTTTAAAATTTCTTGGTTTAAATTGCAAGTTTTGGATAAACTACATACCAATTAGTTCCTAATCGTTTGCTGATTCGACTGATATAAAGTAAGAGTTGTCTTGCAACGTATTTATCGAGATATTTTGCATGAAATTTCGGTGTGGTGCATTATGTCTCGTCGTACCAAAAATAGCATGTCTTCCCTGTCGGAGGCAGATCTTAAGCGTTTTGTATTAGAATTGCCAGACACAGATCAAATTCAAGATACGGCGGAAGAGACCACAAAAGAGAGACTTGATCATAAAGATGAGAATGAAAATTAAGAAAACGAAACCCGTGGCGAAACAAACGAGCGAGAAATAAACAAACATGTGGCTGATGAGGCTACCGAAGACAAAGCCGATGTCAACAGGAAACATTCATCATGCGAGGAATGTAAGAGCCGCAAAGATGAAATAACAGAGATAAAAGCGATAATTACCGAAATTAAATCAATCCAAATTAAAGATCGTGAAAATGCAATCAAAATAGCGGCAGAATCCGACGCAATAATAAAATCTTTGAACAAGGAAAAAAACGAAATGGCGGCAGAGATTGAATGTCTTAAAGCTACAATATCCGAACTAGTCGTTGAGAATGAAAACATTCAAAGAATTCTCAACATCAAACAAAATGAGTGGGTGAAAATAACGGAAAAACAAGGTCAATCAAATGCAAGTCTCTCCAAATCTGTAACTACAACTACAACCGCAACACAAAATCGATTTGAATTGCTCAATAATGAAAATAGTGAGAGAATATCATCGCCTGAATTAGTTTCAAATGAGCAAGCAAACGACAACAGAAAGTGCCAGATCCATGACTACAGGTCAAAGGAACAATCAAAATTTGCCAAAAGAAAGAACCATAGACGTGCACAGAAGGGAAACAAGAACCATCCTAACCCTTCTAAAAAGACCGAAGTTAGGAAAGTCCTGGGGACGGTTGTTCAAAAGCAGGTTAAATTTAACCCTGGGTTAGTGCTAAACCTGGGTTAAAATCCTTAACCCTAGGTTAGCTAAACCTGGGTTAAAACTGTGTTGTTCATAGCTGGGTTAGCGGAAGGGTTAGTTAACCCAGGGTTAAAATATTTAATCTAAGATTAAATGTATTTTAACGATTAAATTGGATATAAGAACGTTTTGGATTGGTCAATAAACGAGCGTCAAAACTTTACCCGACAAGGATATATTGTCAGTCGAAAGATTATATGCCGTGAGGGCAGGGTCGAAGGGACGTTGTTTTGAACAGCAATTTCCGTGCATGGAATTTTGGAAAGATTGGAAATGAAAGGCCTTTTTCTATGATAAACAATGTCGCGATGTGAAACAAAATTAAGCAATGCATATTATAAACAATCTATTTTAAAATTTCAGGCATTCTTTGATTATTCAAAATTCAGGAACAAACATAGCCTTACCACTTGCTGCCAATCAAAAGAATCGAATTTTGGCATCCGAAACAAATATTTCGATTACGATGTTTTATTTAGTACGGTTGTATTCATTTATCGTGTGTTGCATTGAAGCGAAGATTAATAAATCAATACATCAGCTGAAATCGAACGAAGTCAAACTTAAATAATTCTTTGCTGTCGAAATTATTCGTAAAACCTTTCAAAAGTTTTTAATTCAAGACGAATTATACGTGTTTACGTGTTTCAGCTCCTTATTCATCCATTTGAATCGAAGTTAACCCAGGATTAAAAAGTTAACCCACCTAGCTAGCAGGGTTAATTTTTTTATCAATTTTAACCCAGGGTTAACGCTAACCGAGCTTTGTGCAACGCGAATCAACCAAGGTTTAAAATTTAACCCTGGGTTAGGCATTTTTAACCCTGGGTTAGCGTTAACCGGCTTTTGAACAACCGGCCCCTGGTAATTATCGACTCAATGATCAAACATATTGATTGGCCGAAAATCGAGCGGGCAGCAGGTTGCCAGTCAGTTGTCTATTCTTACAGTGGTGCAAAAGTGGAACAAGTTAGCTGCAAGGTCAAGGAATACTGTTCAGAAGAAGATCAATATGATGCAGTTATCCTACACGTGGGCACAAATAACCTCGTCTCAGAAGGGCCAGAAGAAGTAGCTGGTAAAATGGATGAGCTTGTCGAAGATCTTAAATCGCTCCAATTTGCACCTTAACAAACAAGGTGACAGGGCACTAGGGAGTGCTTACTGCACATATTTGAAATCATCTGTTAGAATAAGAAGGGCTGGTAAATTAAATATACAAAATCCAGCAAGTAATAGTAGGCAGTTTTTTCACCAAGCTCATGGACACCGGAACAGAGAATGTACACTGTATTTGCAACACGTGAATCAAATGATGAAGAATTAGATACTAGTAGTTCCATACACAATGCGAGTAGCGATTTTTTCACTAGCCTTAATTCCATTCCCAATGAAAGAGGTTTTAAAATGGCTTTTCTCAATATTGTTAGTCTGCCAAAAAAAATTGATGAAATAAGGTATTCAATGTCAAACAAATTCATTGATCTTATTGCTTTCAATGAGACTTGTCTTGACTCAAGTATAACTAATGGTATGATTCACCTCAATGATTACAATATTGTTAGGAAAAATAGATCAAGAAATGGGGGTGGAGTTTGTATCTACTTGCGTAGCTCCATCAACTACATTATCAGGCAAGATATAATTCCTTCCGAGTTAGAGGCTGTCTGTGTAGAAATTATTAAGCCACACAGCAAACCATTTCTTGTCACAACAGTCTATAGACCACCCAATGCATCATCTGAATTCTTTGATTATTTTGAAAAATTAATCAAAGCTATTGATGATGAAAATAAGGAAATGTATCTTTTGGGTGATCTAAACTGTGATATGCTTAAAAACGACCAAGATTCAAATATTCATACCAAGAAAATCATATAATTGTATGAGTTGTATCAGTTATCACAATTGATTGATGAAGCTACCCGAGTAACTATGACAACCTCCAGTTTCATCGATCATGTAGTTACCAATACACCAGAGAGTATTTCTGATTCTGGTGTTATCGATACTGGATTAAGTGACCATGGTTTATTATTTGCAATAAGGAAAATTTCTGTCATTAAAAAAAGAAAGTGGAGATAAGAAATATGAAAAAATTTAATCACCAAAAATTTCTTGAGGATCTGAAACAACAACCTTGGGAAAATGTATATTTTTTTGCAGAAGATCCTAACGCTATGTGGGGAATTTGGAAGAAATTATTCTTAGAGGTCTTGGATAATCATGCACCTCTTTAACATAAAAAGATCTGAACGAAAAAAGTTCCTTGGATTACAAGTGCTATAAAGCAACTTATAATTGCAAGAGACAGATTCAAAAGAAAGGCCATTTCTACAAACCTAGAGATAGACTGGTAAAATTATAAAACAACAAGAAACAAAGTTAATATTCAGCTAAGAAATGCTAAAAAAGATTATTACTCCACTAAAATCGCTGGTCAAAAATGCAATCCTAAAGAAGCTTGGAAAACTATAAACAATATACTACGTAGACAAGTAGTTATGTGAGTTAAAATTAGGCAAAAATAGCTTGACAAGGGCTTTAATGATTATTTCTCAAATATTGGCCCTGATCTAGCAAGCCAAATTGATACTTCAAATTCCAACTTTCAAACATATGTTGAAAAGGCCAAATCAGAATTCAGTGCATTCCAGCCAGTCACTGTCAGAGATGTCTACCATCTCTTGCATGGTCTTTCTAGCAATAAAGCAACAGGCATTGATAATATTTCTTGTAAAATTATTAAAATAGCTGCACCTGCTATTTCAGATTCACTGACATACATTTCTAATCAGGCTATTACCCAGGCCATCTTCCCTGATGAATGAAAAACGGCTAGAGTAATACCTCTATGTAAAAATGGGCAATGAAACATAACTGTAAATAGATTATTATATTAGTTATGTATAGTTATGTTGGTTATATATCCTATGTAATTTTGTACACAGTTTTTAAAAAATATTCTTTTCTGTACACTTTTCACACGCCCCTCGTGGAAATCGGCTTCGGTTGACGGGGTCAGTGTGTTAAAATAAAGCTTTCTATCTATCTATCTACCTTCTTTATCTTCTTTGGTCACTCCTAGTCCTTCCTTATCTTCTTCAGTGACTCCCAGACCTTCTTCCTTATCTTCTTCGGCCACTCCTAGTCCTCCTTCCTTATCTTCTTCAGTCATTTCTTCTGTGACTCCCAGACATTCTTCTTTATCTTCTCTGGCCACTCTTAGTCCTCCTTCCTTAACTTCTTCTCTGACTTCCATACCTTCTTTATCTTCTTTGGTCTCTCCTAGTTCTTCCTTATCTTCTTCGGTGACTCTCAGACCTTCTTCCTTATCTTCTTCGGTCACTCCTAGTCCTCCTTCCTTATCTTCTTCAGTCACTTCTGGGCATTTTTCCTGGTTGACTAGATCTACTTCCTGTCTAACATCCTCCTCATCTTCTAGTCTTTTATCCTCACCTGCCACAGGGCCCACCGCAACAGGTTGTGTTTCGTCGAATACAACGATCAAGTTACCTTCAGGTACCGCATGTACCGTACTTGTATTGTATCGTACCAATGGTCACTTTTTGTAAAGCTTTTTTCCTGAATCTTGCTATTGTGTCTGAGAAGTTGTTCAATGTTGATGATACCTAATTTATTAATTCTACACTAATTTATCACCCTTTACTAGACACTGTTGTTGTGGTTGACAACGGGAAGTGTGTTGGTGTTGGCAAATCCGTACCTCTCACAAGTGTACATGGCCAGACCAAGATGATACCCATTAGTGCATTTTGTTGACCTGGGCTCAGGATAATTACCTCGCATCCTTCCAATGTGGAAACAAGGATCTAAAGGAGAACGTATATTTTTCAAAAGATTGTTTTTATGCTGTACCATGTACAATCCTGAGACAGCTTATTCAAAAAAATAACCAATTTTCTCTCTCTCCAATTAATTAAAATAATCCCGAAGCTTTCCTCGTCATAAACCTTGATTAGGACCCTGTTTATATGAGAGGCGAGACAGGACGATTGCCAGGACAGAAATTTTTCATCCTGCGTTTACATTATTGTTCAATACAGCATCATCCCTCCCATCTTGCCTCTCATATAAACAGGGCCTGTTTATATGCAGTGAATTATCCCGGCTAGGTGAGGTCAAAACTAGAACTAATCAGGTTAAGTCTTTGATGTGACGCCCTTTTTACCTCACCTAGCCGTGATAACTTGCTCCATGTAAACATGTAAACATGTTCTAATCTTACGACAACTGTCGTAATAGCTCTCTATCTTCCTGCTACTTGATATTGTGATTCTTTCCTTAAAAATGTGCTACAGTGCTTGCACTCATTGAATGAACAGTGGCATAATTGGGTATGCTAGGGTGCTGTTGACGCACCCTCAATCTTTAGTAGCTACCAGAATGACACCAAAATTGTAACCACAAAGTGCCAAACTCTCATGAACTTTTTCAAATGATTGTGTAAGAAATTATGGAATCAACTTGTGACAAAGGGAATTTACAATCTACGACGTGGTTATGCTGCCAGGACTTTGACATAAGCACACAACATTTCAAATTGTGCTAAAGAACCTATCTAGCTGATATTGCAGTTTCATATAAGCTATCAAACAGCATGTAGAGTTTCTTTGTTTAATTGTTTTGCAAGTGCGTCGCCGAGATGGCCGTGTTGTGAATGCGAACTCCCTAATAATACATAACGGTAGGATGTATGCCCTTCAACAAAGGAAGTTACTAAAAGTTTCTGAACTGTGAAACGAGACAAATTTGTAGATGAATTTATTGTACGAAACTTTGCACCCTTGATTAATTTGCCAGTTCAAGTATTATTCTAAAATTTCAGCTCCATCGAGTTAATAGAAGTATGTGATATGTGATATCGGTATCGATTTTGTCATAGGGGTGTAGAATAACTGTATTTTGACAGGCATCTAGTGCCGAAGACAAACTTCTAGATGGATTTATTGTATGAAACTTTGCACACTTGATTAATTTGCCAATTCAAGTGTTATTCTAAAATTTCAGAGCAATTAAGTTAATAGAAGTATGTGATGTGTGATATCGGTATCGATTTTGTTATAGGGGTGTAGAATAACTGTATTTTGACAGGCATCTAGTGCCGAAGACAAACTTCTAGATGGATTTATTGTATGAAACTTTGCACACTTGATTAATTTGCCAATTCAAGTGTTATTCTAAAATTTCAGAGCAATCAAGTTAATAGAAGTATGTGATGTGTGATATCGGTATCGATTTTGTTACAGGGGTGTAGAATAACTGTATTTTGACAGGCATCTAGTGCCGAAGACAAACTTCTAGATGGATTTATTGTATGAAACTTTGTACACTTGATTAATTTGCCAATTCAGGTATTCAGGTACTACACAGATTGTTTATATTATTGAAAGCGTTTTATCTCATCCCATCCTACGCATAGATTCATAGATACGAGAAGTAACACCAAGGCTTCCAGTCCCCCAACATAATGTCGTATTAGCTGCTCTTTGGCAGGGGTATCATGTGTTGCCACCCACTCACTGTCGCTGGATTTAGGTGCATCTTATGCTAAATTTAATCTTCAGGATCGATTTCAACAATTTCCTCATTTTCTTCACTTGCGGCAATCTCCTCATCGTCCTCATCATCTTCTTCCTCGCTATCAATATACTCATTGACGACCAACGTCCCGTCAAGCATTTTCTTAAAAACAGCAATCGCTTCTCTTATCATTATTTTCTTGCAGAAAAACATGTCACAGTTAAAATGGTTAGCGCAATCAAGGTAAAAATACAAATAACATAATTATCTAAGCTAGATTATTTGATATTTTTAAATTTATATACCACTCGCTTGTTCAGGGCGTATGTATACCTGTTCTGATTGTCAAATATCCTCGTCAACATCCTCATGAAGCAAGTCGTCTAAACCCGGTAAGAAACGATAATTATTTTTGAAACTGATATTATAAAGTCACCATTTAAATATTATCATGACTGGTCGCCACTTTTAATTCTTTATTGACAAAACCTCAAGTGTCAATGCCAGACCTACCCGTCGCTCCTCCCTAAAAATTACTTGATAGTAATTAATTACTAAAAATGACGTTTACGTACTTAGGTATTATTTTATCTACCAACCATTAATAATGGAACGTAATCGAGTATCAAGACTTGGCAAAATGTTGTCTTTGTAGTAACACAAAAAGACCCAGTTTTTTTTTTAGTCGAATGCTATTAAGGTACTCTTCAACAGGTTTTCTTTTTAAGCGTAAAGATTTCTACTGAGCATGCCCCGAATCTACAATCAAATATGGCCGCCATGTTACTATAGAAATATTAAGAATGTAATATAAAAATCTAAATTACACCCATTTGTACCCTCTTTAACGAAGTTGCAGACATCAACTTTTATCTGGAAAAGCCTTGGTATATAAATTTTACAATAATTTTATACAAGTCTTTAAGACTAACTTGATCCATTTTCAAACTGATTTTAGCAACGCTTTGCGTTATAGAAACAATAATAACACACCTTAATTATGCAAGGAAAGCTTGTATTGAACAGGAAAATATTGTTTTTGACTGTCAATGTTCCACACAAGTATCTGCAGCGCTGGTATGACTTAAAGCAAGATGGCAAGCTTCAATACTCGTATGTAAAAATTTTGAATGCATTTATATCGGAGAATGGCACTGAGTTAAAGGTAGACTGTGAGAGAATTAATGGTATCATTCGTAGATGTTGTGGACAGATTAAAAAAATAAATTCAAACTTCTCCGAGGCCGTAGAGGTGTTGAGTATTTGTCGAAGTTCAAATGCATTTCTGTATACCAGAAGGAAATTGCCAAGCTGTCTGAAGCTAAGGAAAAACTGGAAACTGCACAGGCTGCTGTTAGTACCTTGTCCAAAGAGAGTGAGAATTTAAAAGAGCGATTCGATGAACTTGTGAAAGAACTAACAACATTAAAACGAGGAGAGAAACATGGTGAACAGCAGATTAAAAAAGTGCAAGATGATTATAGCAGGGAATTAAACATCAATGAAGCACTCAGAGAGTACATTGACAGAATGGGGATTCCAGATGATTTCAAAAACAGTGGGAAACGTATACCTGAGTTGGGGAAGAGACGACAGAACAGAAAACTAAAAAGGCTGAAAACTCAAGTAGAAAGAAGCTTGTGGTTTGCTGAGACATATGGAGTAACATTAGAGTCTCTGAAATTCTCTGACAATAATGGTACTGATTATGACTTAAAATTCAATGACCATGTACCAAAAAAAAGCTTCAAAGATTTGCCAGAAGCTGAACAAAAAAAAATCAAAGAGGTGCTTTTGATTCAGGATAAGTTCTGCATTGGCGAAGCGGCATACCATGAGCTGACCATGACTCAAAGTGGAGAGTCACTACCCCGGTCGTATCTGGTGAAGCAGTGCAAAGACTCCTTGAATCAGCTTTGTCACATTGAGCACACACCGGGAAATAATGAAGGTGCCCAGGTGAATTTTTATGATGCACTCAGGAATGAAATAAAAAAGCATGTAAGTTCACATTTGTTGTGTGTGTCTGTGTGTCATTGCATAGAATCTTGAAATGAAATTGATTATATGGCATATTCTTCCCTTTGTATTATTAGATAAGAATGTGCACACTTACTGGTCAAAGCCCTCCTACGAAATATAGTGTCAAGTTAAGTGGTGATGGTGCTAAAATGACCAGGATTACTGGCTTTATTGTCATATCATTTTCAATTTTAAATGACGGAGATGTTGTAATGTCTCCCAGAGGTAAGTTTATTAAATTATTAATTTATGGCTGTGTTTGTATACTAAATGTTCATCTGGAGTTAATTTGCATGGATATTGTTGCTTATGCTGTAACTTTTGCACATAAATTGATTGTACAATATTTTACATTTCAGAAAATCATACCATTGCTGTGATAAAGGAAAAGGAATGCTATGAGACTCTTCAGTCTTCATCTCGCAAAATATTTAGCGATCTAAATAAGCTTGTAGAAACTGGTGTGCTCAGGCTTGATGGGGAAAATGAGGTTGCAGTTGAGATGTATCTAGGTGGAGACTATAAGGTAGTATAAACAGCACTTGCTTTTAGGATTATATGGATATATGTCATAGTAATATAATTTTCTTCTCAGTTTTTTCTATTATTGATGGGGATGAAAGGGGCAACATCTGATTATGCTTGTATTTGGTGTAAAATCCACAAGATGCTTAGGTAAGATTATAAATATTTCAATTAAAATTTTTATATATTTGGCAGCACAGATTTACCCAAATACTCTAACCACTTGAAGTAATGCACATCTCTCTTGTATAAAGATTTAAAATATGAACTGCTAAAAAGAGATTAGAATGTACCTAATCTGTAGCTTTCATTATTCTGATTAATGGACTACCAAATTAATATTCCTGTAGGTATATGACAAAACCTGAAGACTTCTATTGGATGGTGGATTTAAAGAGAACTATAGAGGACATTAGGGAATGTTGTATGAGAAATCAGTTCTCCTGTGATCGTCCACCCTTGCTAAACATACCTCTGGAGAATGTTGTTCTTGATGAATTGCACTTAATTCTCAGGATTACAGGTAGAGTATTACAAACCTTTACACCCATCCCCACCAAAAATATTCACCCCGTTGCAAAAAATAAAAATTCATCATCCTTGCCAAATGATGGAACAGATATATTCTATATATTACAATTTTTTTACAGACAAGCTAACCAGTAACTTAGTGTCAGAAGCACTTTCCCGAGATAAAAAGGAAAATATGAACAAGGCACCTTGCAATCGGACATCTACTCATTTGGACAGCTTACTAAATGCCATTCGCAGTTGGGGCATCTCTTTTAATGTCTGGGAAAAGCTGGATGCAGATGGTCGAGGAAGTGGAATCTATGACTTCACCAGCATAATGGGCACAGACAAAAAGATCTTACTTGAAAAGTTGCCATTTAAGCTTGATGGTGTCATCACTCCTGCTACAAGTGATGCAGTTATCAAACTTTGAAAGGTACAGAATTCCAACAATGCACAACTATTTATTCCAGAACACCAAATTAATCAGTATTTGACATTTGTGGAGTCTGTCAATTAAGGCACAAATAAGGGTTGGTGCAACTTCAAGCTATTAGTCTACCTGCTGGTAGACTAATTGTGGTCACAATGAAATCTCCACTGCTAAGTTTTTTTGTTTATAGGATTTTAATCACATCTACAGAGACCACATTTGTATGAAAGCACCTACAGATTCAGACATTGACACTTATTTTGCCAAGGTACACAAAGGTACAGGTATGTAGGTAACTGCTTGGGTGTCACTGTTTACATCACTTGGTGGTACTCTTGAAGGATATGGAAAAGCCAACATCACGCCATACATGCATGCAATGGTATATCATGTGCCTCGGTTCATGAGAATGCATAACGGAATAAAACAGTTTTCTGGACAAGGTAAAATTCTAAATAAAACTGCCAATTATATAACACAACAATTAGTTTGGTGCTTGCAGAAATGCTCCATTCCTGAATTCCAATCCCTTTTGATTAATGTAGGTGTTGAGAAGCTGAATGATAGTTGTCGAAGAGTCCATCTTGAGAAATCAAATAAATGGGATGCAGCCAAAGATGTATTAATGGCTGAAGAGCGACTTGGAGTTCTCAGTGAATTAGATAGGACACGAAGAGCATATCAAAAGAAGGATGATGGGTATTGGTTAAATAGTATAAGGGAGAGTCGTAGAAAGCACCCACGACTGTGTGACCATGAAGAGGTGTCTGATGGATCAGAAGATATCTCTTTGTTAACAGCAGATGTACTCCGATCAAGGTTAAAGGACATGGGTGTTAAAACAAGGGTTAAAAAGCAAAGTAGGCTGGTGGATATGTATACCATTGCATTGCAATCACAACCACGCTAATTAATACACCTTGTAAATATCTGTACATATTATATAATATAAATCTTTTAAATCTATTTCATTAGTAATAAATTACATAATTATATGACACCTATATATCCGAAAAACAACAAATAACTGTATTCTATACATAACAGGTATCACATGCTCTCCTTACAAAATGTACAGATACTTTTTCTATTGGCATTCTTGGTGCTTTTTGCATTTTGCTATTGACATTATGGCATCTTGATGGTGACCACGAAACAATAGGTTTGGCTTTAATTGGAAACACTATTGCCCGGCCTTCCCCATGTTCATTAGGAAAGTAATACCAATCAGTTGGAAACATCGAAAATTTGTCAAAGTCTTTCTTTTGATACAAAGTGTATCCTCTGTGTTCTGATGGAATACCTTGGTTGGCTGTGATGTAACGCCACACATCAATATCCATATTGATCAGCACAGTAGCCAATGACTTGCTTTTTAGGCCTTGGGATGAGCATCCAAAAGATGCTTAGAAAACGGATTCCGTTGCACCCTTCGTGGAACTACATAATTTTCACATGAATCAATAGATAAAAATTTACTTTATCAGAATCCGTTGTTCCCCAAGCAAAACAGTTGCACAATTGGGAAAACAATCCCTCCAAACTTTGGCGTTTCGAAATATGCTAACCGCCATTGTTTTAGTAGCAAATACGCATGCGCTTGTCAGGCAAACTTGCACTGCGCACGCGCATAAGTACGCACATGCTTCGAAGTGGAAACACGCTTAGTTATGCAAAACAGTAATGGCTGAAGATATTTATAAAACTCGAATATCGTCATGTTTTATTCATTTTGATGGTGTTACGGAGCAACTTTGCAAGGTTATATGCCAAAGGCTTAAGAAATTTCTTGAGTGTAGGTCTAAATGGGCCAAACTTAAATGTCAACAAGCTGAAATAGCTAAGAAATCGTATGAGAACATCGATGACGGATCTGTCAATTCATACATGGAAAATACCCTGACAGCATTAACTTAGAATGGTACCATCATACGAAATACTGGAAGAGATTTTGTGATGAAGAGAAGATCCGTAGACAACAGCGAAAAGAAGAAAGCTCTAAAACTGTAACTTCTACCGAAGAACTACATATAGAGGTGGAACCAATAGAACCAAGGCAAAAAATTACACGCCAATCAGTCGCAGACGTTTATAAGACCCTGCCTAAAAGAAACGAGCACGTACTTCCAGAGATATGTATTGTTTGTGGAAGAGACGCCTATGGTTCTCACTAGACAAGGTATGGTCATTTTGATAGATATAGTTATACTAGTGCATGTGCACTAGTAGCACAACATTCTCGGGTTTGGTTTTAAAATATCTTGTTCACACCATGTAGGTTTGGAACTGCTAGCCTATGTTATGTTCGTTAGTGACAACTGTGCTTATCGCAGGAAAACATATATCTTAATCATTTATCTCAAGTACCATAGGAAATTAAAATTAACTAGATTTACGCATGGGTAAGGCATGCAGTTGGACCAGAAACTTGGCAGTATAGTTGAGGTATTCTGGCAGCAAAATCTACAAGCTAAAGTAAAGTTCTGAGTTACTGGGAAAACATCTGTAAGTCGTTTTTTATTTTTATTTAGTTATTGTAAGGGTTGTTTAGAGTTACACTATATAATTTTAGGTTTATGTATTTGTTCTTTTAGTCGAACCACGATTCACGCTCATGTTTAAGACGATTGCATATCGTCAATTTCGGGTTAAAATTATATTCAGATTGTATACGAGTTTATAATCTATTATTTTCATTGCCATTAGCAAAAGTGTATCTACCCATTCTGCGTGCGTTTTGGACTGTTTTCCCTGCCTCAATTGTGCTCACACGTAAGCTTATACCGTATTGGGATTACTGTTTTGCGTTCGATGGTCTTAGAGCTTACACACCAGGTAACTAAGAAGAGAAGAAGAACCCCACTCATGTTGGCAGAAACAATTGATGCTGGTCTTCTACGTACAGCTGCCGAGAAAAGGAATGATGAATACTCATGCAAATCAGGGGAAATGACTGTGCTGCACTGGAAGTCATCTATCACAAAGTTTGGTACTACAATTATACAAAATTTCTCACCAGAGAGGCAAAAAAGCAATTGGAGACTGAAAGATCTACATCAGTGTACGAGAAGTCTTATGATGTCTTCTGTAAGAAAGTAATCGAGACTGAGGTCATTGCAAATAAGCAAATAAGGTATATGAAACATTTGCTGGAGAAATTTGTTATCATTGCTAAGGACACAGAGAATGTGGATGCATCCAAATATAGAGCTTCATCCAAATAACGACTGATGAAAAGATATCCCCAACTTGCGTTCTATGTACCGAAAATGAGAAATGTTAGTGAGATTGTAAATGTGGAAAATTTGGATTCTTCCAAATTAGTTAAGGAACATATGTCAAAAAAGTCAGAAAACAATGATGAAGACTTTGATGAAGAAAGCTATACCATTGATGATGATGATCTGAATTCCAACACAGAAACTGAGGAAAATTCTAAAGTCAATAAGTTACAAATTCTATACAATACTGCATTGATTCTTTGCCAAAAGGTCCAAGAAATACCAAAACTAAATCTTCCTTAGCCACTATTGGCATCTGATTTGACAATGGATAATGTGCAAAAAGTGGTTCCATGTGAACTTTTTAATGTATTGGCTTGGATTTGTGGATTCTCTTCAGAACCAACTTTAAGTGAGTACGTGCCAATTGAGGGCAAGAACAGTGCCAAAGTAACATCAATTGTACAAGACCTTGTGAATTTAGCACCTGGGAGAAGGTATCCTACGCCCAAGAGCATAGCACTTGCCATGACAGTTAGTCAACTGACAGGTTCAGCCTCAGTAATTTTTCTATTGAGTGGCTTTGGACATTGCATGTCACACTCATTTGTATTGTGTCTTGAGACTGCCCTTGCACAGATGAATACATCCAAGGATTCTGCTATTCCTCCAGGCTTTGTTAGTGATGTGAAGGCTGTAGTTAAGCGAAATATTTAACTTGTCCCTTGATTGTATGAGTTGTATGTATATTTATATATTCTCCGTCCTGTTTGATACAGGTGGGTTTTTTACTTGACGCAATTTTTATAAAACGGTATTTTGAATCAATATCCAATGAATTGAAGTGATTTAGCATATGAGCAAGCAAAATGTGCAATGTGTTTTAAACAATATTTGATGTGTGTGTATTTATTTGTTTATATTACAAGGTTTAATTTTAATTCTGTGATTTTATTTTGTTGTTTTCATACAGGAAATCGGGGAAAACCCACAGGGAAGATCCATTTTTCCTGTTTGAGCGTGCGCAGTGCGACTTTGGCTGACATGCACATGCGTACTTGCTATTAAAACAATGGCGGTTCGAATATTTTGAAGCGCCAAAATAACAAACTTTGGAGGATTTTTTTCCCCAATTGTGCACCTGTTTCACTTGGGGAGCAACAGATTCTGATAAAGTAAGTTTTATCTATTGATTCATGTAAAAATTACGTAGTTCCACGAGGGGTGCAACGGAATTGCATCTTTTCGATGCTCATCCCACGGCCTATTTCAAGCCTGTTTAAATTGCATTGAAAAAATTGCGGCTTGCAACTTCTAGTCGAGTCAAAGCAGGTTTTGGTGGTGTGAGGTAGCTCCTACGAAACAAGTAAAACCAATAAAATCATTGGTTGTTGGTTGCATTGAAAGCAACTTTGACTAAACCTATGTATTTAGAGCAACTCAATGTTACTACATAAGCCATAAAACTCCCAGAATTAAAATTAAATCACATTCGATCTTGTTATCCAATAAATATATAACATATAGCACTTACATTAAGAGGTCTGGTGTTAAATTTTGAGATGGCTTCCACAAGCAATATTGGTAAGACCATCCCTAAAGAAATGAGAATTATAGCTTATAACTAATGTTTCATACCAGTCTTGTCGTACGTAAACTGTTTACAGCTTAACGAGTAGCTTATACAGTCTGCACAAAATGAAAATCATTTTAATATTTTGATATTTTGTACTTATGCGTCGTATAACTCTGTGTGTGATTATCCTTTTGACTTCGTAAAACCTACCACGCTTTCTTCTAGGTGCGCTGTGGTACAAAGTTACTGAGGAAAGCGCATTTAGTTGTGTATAATCGACAGAAAGCTTTGAGCTTCGCTTGGTCTTTGTCAACTCAATAGACGCCATCTTGTTTTAATTTTGTACTGATGGCCGCTGGTCAAAAACAAGTGCGTGTCCTGAATTTCTGGCCATGAATCGTGTGAGAAACATAATTTTACCGAAATATGAGCACTATAAATATAAACATACAGTTCTTCGCAACAAACAGTTTTTCTCTAAATGTTCACATATAACTGATTTACAAATTGGAGTTGCAATTACCTGATAATTATAATGTATGTATGTTTGTATGTATGTATGTTTGTATGTGGTATGTACAGTGCCTCTGTTGTCTTGTGGGTCAATCCAAGGAAAATTACCATCCAAAGCAGTCTCAGATGTGACATCATCTTTTCAATCAGTTTCTAACAACCGATTTACCACATTATATTGCGTGATGGAATCGCTAAGTTTTTTCTTTTCCAGAGCATTTTTGCTACGCAATCTAGCCCTTTGTTTAGACGAATCTGAATCATTCCAACAGTATATTAAATACATACTTTCATTTAAAACATTTACATTATTAACTACGACCACAGTTTAAAGTTTCTGTTATTAAAGTTCCTGTTAAAATAAATGTATACTTAAACCTGCTAGACGGCTAATACTTTTCTTTTGCTGTGAAATAGAAAAGCATAACATTTCAATCTCTTCGCGAATAGAAATTCTTTTTCTGACAGCCAAAAGATTTTTCCCCTCTTGCAGGGCTTGTTGCTTCCCTAACTCATTTCCAACTATACATAGAGTCGATTCAAGGTTTCTTAATTTCTTTTCTTTCTTATCCATTTCCTGATGTTTTGCCAAGGCTTGAGCATACAATCCTGAATTCCCGTCGTTTATTTCTGTTTCAGCTTCATCACCAGCAACATCGAGGAACGGCTTCAAAGCGATAGCTTCGCGCACTTCGGTATACAGCTCATAGTAAAAACAAGATCACCTTCACGCTTCGTCATCTCAAACTTCGACCCTGGAAACACAAATGTAAGTACAGGTAACTATAGTTAGTCTATAGCCCTAATTTTACGGGCTAAAATTTCAAGCGAAAGGCGAAATATTTTGCCTGCTTCTTTTGAATTGTGAGCAATGAAGCAGAGTTAATTTTTTCAAGTGGTCGAAATTCAAAAGAAACAGGCGAAATATTTCGCATTTCGCGGAGAAAAGGCGCCCGTGGAATTAGGCCCTATAACCGGCATTGTAGAGCATGTACACGCTACTGTCTGTATAGTAGTTTGCGAGTTTTAAACATTCCACCTGATACACCTCACGCGTTTGAATCAAGCAAGTTGAAATGAATAAAATGCGTATAATTACGTACGTTTCCCACACGCTGTTATTTCAGCAGCCCAATTACCGAACTCTTCACGATACGCTGAAAGATTTAGCTCGTTTACCAGCTCATCAAGTTCCTTCTTATTTTCTTCTATTAACTTCTTTACCTGTCACAAGAGAATTGAATTATAAATATCAAAAGTCTATTTTTAGTTTACTGAGAAAAACTATTGAATAATAAAATTTACGAATAAACAAACATACATAAACATATTTCTTGCAAAGAGTGATTGGCAGCTTAAGAATCTTTAACTTGTTCCAGTGAAGAACATGCTCCGTTAGTGCTTCATTGCGACCTGTCGTATATAAATGAAAAAGCTTAATCCGTCAATGGCAAATGTAAGTCTTCAGAAATTAAGAGGTAAGTAGTCAATGTAACAAAGTGTTGAAAACGATGAAAAATATAACATTTAGACATTATAATCAATAAACCACAGCAAATTCACACGCAATCAATACATTTTACAGGAAACCTAAAAATTCGAACAGCTACGTACCTGCTGCATGCATGTATTTTGTTGTTGATCCCAATCTCGAGATGTAGCTGTTGATTTGCTCAACTCTTCACCTGCAGTGTAACCACTTCCAATTTGCCAACGTCCACCCCATGTGACCTGAAAGGTATGAATATTATAAGTATGCAATTTGAATGATTTCCTAATTAAAATTGGTTAACATTTGTTTTATTAAAATATTGGCAAGACCAAACATGAGCTTTACCATGCATGATAGATAATGCTGGTGCCATCAAAAAGGCTTCATCAGGTGACAAATCTTTGGGAAGCGAAATAAACCAAGGCCAGTACTTACAAATCACATCTTGCCATAAGAACTTAACTTTATGGTGAATTAGTCGGTTGATTGCAAATAATGTGTGTATCCATACAGTTCACCTTGATGCATATTCACAGCAGATTGAGCCAGAGAATGTCTACAGCCTGCTACAACAAGACCAGTTGGACCGTATTCCTTGCAGCTTTCCAATGAGAGGAACCACAATAGGAATTACTTGAATGACCCTGGGAGGATTGAATATGATTTATAAGTATAACTCTTATGCAGTTTTGGTATATTATAATTGTACACAAAACTGGTATAATTGCACAACTCTCCATAATTACTCACAATCATGATCATACCTTAGCTGAGTTGTTGGAATAAACATTGTTCAAGTGCTCCTCTACCAGTTCATCATCTTCAATGAATGTATTTTCATAATAGCATTTTCTTTCACCTCTATAAACAAATTATATAAATCATGGACATTTGGTCAGTATGATTTTAGCCAGGCAACAACACAATACCTTGGCACACTGTTGTATCTATAAAGTTTAGCATTTCCATCAACATGACACGAATGTTGGGATCTAAAACATGATGGGCAATTTTCCCATTGTTTTTCTTGTAAGATGTCAACTTCATGCATGGCAAAACACCATTCTTTGAATGCACGATGAAACACTGATGTGTTGATGATACCTGACTAAAAATTGATCAAGAAGATTATGCACAGTTTTAGACCACTACAGGTACAAAATTTGATTGAGCTCTTGCTTGCTAATTGTTCATTATGATTTGTACAAATCTATGTACAGTGACCTGAGTATGATTCACTAACCCTGCCCTTTTCACTAGATATGGAGGCCAAGGACCTAAGAAATGCTGTCTCAGATGTGCCTGGCATATACTTTCGCAGTGAATCCCAAACTCTGAACACATCTTCACAGAAGATGTAATTAAGATTCTTTGGGCCACCTGGCCAATACCCTTAATTAATTATCTTCTCCAGTGTTAATGGTGAGAACTGTTGATCACATCCAGTGCAACTGTATGTGAATAAATACAAATCAAATCTTCCTGCAAGAAAACATTGAAAATTAACCACTGTACGCTATACACAGCTAAACTCGTACCTTTGGCTGTTATAAGAATGCACAATTCTTTAGAGGGGATGATAGAAAGTGTACCCTGGCCCTTACAATAAATACATTATTTGCAAAATAAAAATGGAGCATATCTTCCTGTAAAAAATGTAATAATCAGTCTATTTTATACAGTATAAGATTACTGAACCAGTACTCGCAGTTTACCTGAAATGATTGTATAAAAAAATAAATGCATGCATAGCAATATTTATAATTGATATATTTCATAGTCTCTGGAACAAGAATATCAAGAATATAGTCAGCATCTGAACAAACCAATGATAATTTTTGAATTAATAAATTTACAATAATCACTTACTGTTGAAGCCTGGAGATCCATCTGGCAGGACTGTTTCAGTAGGAGGAACTGCTTGATAAAATCCATTTATCCAAATATCAGGGTCATGCAAAGGTTTTTTCTCATGAGCTGTCTCATCAAAATTGTTACAGAGTAATGCACCTGGTCCACAGTGGCGACACTGAACAACAGCTCTGTCTTCTCCGCACAAGAAGCAAACAGCCCCAGTTTTAGGAATTGCATGACTTTTTAAAACAGCAGCAAATATAGCAGATCTACTATTTTCCCATGCAGCATCCACAGACTGCATTCTTCTTGTCCACATGGACTGGGTACTGGACTTCATTTCTTGAGTCAAACTTTCACAATTTTCTATACAGGTGGTCAAATTTTCTACAAATTATAAATAATAGACTTTGCATATGAATTGCACAGTAATACTTGCACGCCAGTGTTGAGTAGTAGTCGTAATAAGTAGTAGTAATAAATGAAACATCACGGTATATAGGGATGAGACTAACTTCTTTGTAGAGAAGCATCAGATGATTCTTCATTAATTATGTCAAAATCAAAACCACTATCTGATTCAAATGGGCAAAGGTCAACATTGTCGCTCTCTAAAGATACAATAATTATTTACTGTGACAGCGCTATCACACAATATATATACATTGCGGATATTCTATATAAATTATGATTAATTTCAGCAATCTCTCAAGCAAGATCGTCCATCAGAATGATGACGCTCCAGCAAATGAAAATGGAGCATCCATCTACGATTTGCGCCGTGAGATAATTAATCATCGACATGCCCAAAACAAGCTGGTGTTGCAGAACTTGAGATCAAGTATGAGTGAAGAGCAAATTCAAGCAAATGATCTAGCCCAGTTGAAGGGATCCTCAGCTTGGTTGACAGCACTGCCACTTTCTAATGAAGGGTATGTCCTCGCGAAACGAGAGTTCTTTGACACAATCTATATGCGTTATCGGTGGCCATTGAAGCCCCTTCCATCCTTCGCGCTTGTGGAAAATCTTTCACCGTGGACCATGCCTTGTCGTGCTTGAAAGGAGGTTTTATTCATCGACGACATGACGAAATCCGTGACCTTCTCGCTTCTGCCATAGACGATGTGGCCTATGACGTTTCTACGGAACCTGCTCTTGCTCCTTTAACTGGCGAAGTACTTCCATCCAGTGCTAATTCCGCCGACAACGCCAGAGTGGACATTGCTGCGAGAGGTTTCTGGCAGAGATGGTGGATGTGGAAGGGAGACTTCTCACTTCCTTTCGTTCCTAGCGGGCAAACTGGCTGAGAAAAAGAACTTTAGTACCTCCATCGTTCTCAACTGGTTACGTAAGACGATAGCTTTCACTCTTCTTCGCGCTAGGGTTGTGTGTGTTCGTGATAGTCGTTCCTGGAGAACTTTAAACATTCCTTCAACTACAGATATCTCGTTGTCGGAATGGAACTCTAATATTAGATAAAGTAGTTTTCTCTAGTTTATATTTAAGCTTATATGCATAATTTTATTTTTTTTCCTCTTGTATTGTGCATGCATTATAAAAAGTATATGATATTGATTTATTATGTAATTATAGTAATGTTCGAATAAATTATAATTATCATTAATTTACCAGTAACACTACTAGTTTGGCCAGAGGTAGCTCGCTTTTTGCTTTTTTTGCGTTCAGCAACAGAGCGGTATTTGTAATTGGAATCACGTATTCTTTTACCACTGCTATCGTACATAAGGAAGATGTCGCTCTGTTTGGGGTCATTTTTTTCTCTATTGTACCGGTTAATTCACGTAAGTTTTCTAAACTAGCCTCCAAGGAAAGCTGTTGTTGTGATGACTGCTTTGACGATTCTTTGGCAGCCGCCATATTGTGTGATATTACCATATGCGCATACACATGGACCAATCTCTGGGCTCTGGGTCCTACAAGTGTTTGAGGCTTGAACTATGTATTATGCATATTCTTACGGCATTTGACATATATCTATAATAGATTTTTCTTAGAGTGAGGATGTGTTGATACAGCATAATACCTCTTGCAGTTCTTCCATTCCCTTTGCTTGGTCCTCTACTTCGTCCTCTGTATGGTTGATTTCTCTAAAAAAATTTGTATCAATTTGATATGCACACTTGAAAAAATAAATCAAAGCCAAAATATGTTATTTAACAAATAACATATTTAAAAAATATCATTACTGGTTCAGAACTTGTGAAAATGTCCAATATATTATTATTAGCCAGTGTTTCACTTTAAACATAAAGATAGCTATGTCTTATAGCCTCCTGTTATACAGGCTTGTTATATGTCTGCTCTAGCTTTCTCGGATCATAACTCTTGCAAAAATGCCAGACCCTTTATATATTGTCAACTTAGCCTTTACCTGTGGAATCAGTTTTCACAATCTTATCAATACTCTGCTTGCATTTTTACACACAGTTGAGATATGCTCTTCAAAATCCAGTTGATGATCAATCCCTAATCCCAGTAAGTCAAGCGTCTCTGTTGTCTTAATTTTGCATTTGTGTAGTTCTAGATTAAAGGAGCTGTGCCATGGCGTGCGCATTTTTTTTGCGCATAACAAAAATATATTCGGATCTGAGAAGCAAACACTCAAACAGAGCAAACAAGATTCGAGAATGGTACATAAAAATTTGCATTGATTAGCATATATGTATATTGTAGAGCCAAATTGTTGAGTTTATTTTGTTCTCGTCTCTATATAGACAAGCTGTTGTGACTGCAAGAGTTCTTGCAGTGTTAAAAGAAAAGAAAATGGGACTCGAGGTTGTCCTTGCAAGGGGAATAATGTGACATGTTCAGAAGAATGCAAATGCGGTACTCGAAAAACACCATGCCAGAATAGGGTAAGCCTGTTACTCTAATAATAGATTTCATTGAAATGATTGTACTAACCTAGTAATGCCTCAAATTGACGATTTCTCTATAGACAATGCCAGGAGATTTGGAAAGGGAGCGAGACGATAGAGGCAACACTCACCACATTCGTCTCACTCACAAGCCAGCTAAATTCAAGGAAGCGCAAAAGAAAAAAAAACACAAAGACGTTAAGGTATTTAAAGCGTGTATCGCTGTATTGGACTTATTGGTTTAAACTTTATATGCACTAAAATGTTTGTAATAGTGTTTTGGTATTGACCTGAAATAATTTAAAATGAAGTTATTGAATGGGCATTTATTACACCAGACATCTACAGATATATACCCAGGTATATTTGTCTGATAATTTTCATACTATTATAGGATTTCATTGAGACAATAGATGATCGTTTGGTCAGAAAGCTGGCTATTCGAAGTTT